TGGTTAACAGCTTGTTCAAGCTCAGAAACAACAGAACAGGAAGTATAGTACTGGTGGCCTTATGAATTCTCTGCTTGGAAGCTTTCCAGCATTTTTTTTTTCATGTTTCTTTTAGTATGTGTTTAACCTAGTTAACCCACAATAGTGGAAGATCTTAAGCTAAGTAATACAAGGGTTGACACTCCCCCCCCCCCCCACCAAGCATTTCAGTTACCAAGGCAGGAGAGAGAAAGAATTAAAATAATAGGCCAAATTTCTTAGTGTTGGGCCCCAGGGTGGCTTGCGCAGGGATCTCACCCACTGCCCTCTCTCAGCGGTTGAGTGCCTGCAATGTTTGGTGCCGTAGAAAACGGAAGACTGAAAATACATGGGCCTGTAGACCAGCAGTTTGACTTTCCAACAAGTTAGTTGTCCTCTTGGGTGTCCTTTTTCTGGTTGAGGTCCACTTAGTTTTATAATGTAAGGCATCATAAAGCCATAAACTGGTGGTCATCGCACATATGTGGCCTAACCTAGGTTTCAAAAAATGCTGAATTAATCACCAGCACTTAGTAATTGAGAAATTGCCAATCAAATTTTAGGTTTCCAGCTTCTCTGTGAGAATTAGAAGGTCTGCAAATCTGGGCTCACGTTCCTGTGTGGTATGCTAGTACCAGCTGCTTCCCATAAGCCCAGTCATTCCGGCTCTGGTCTCTCCCAGCTGGCTTTCCTGATGACACTTTGCTACCTGGGTCCCCCAGGGCAGTGGTTCTTAGTCCTGGCTTCACATTGGAACCACGTGAGGGACTTCTAAGGCCACAATAATGCCTGTGTTCTGCCCACAGAGGTTTTGATATAATCTCTCTGGGGTACAGACCAAGGCATTGGGATTTGTGAAAGCTCCCCAGGCAGTTACAAGTGCTGTAGCCAGATTTGAGGACCCCTGCTGAGACAGAGCGTTGCAAACTTTAAATTGCACATCAGTCATCTGGGGATTTTGTTAAAATGCAGATTGTGGCTGAGTAGGTCCGGGATAGTGCCTGGGATGCTGCATATCTAACACGCTCCTAGATGGTGTCAGCGCTGCTGGTCTCTGGACGTCTTGTTGAGAAGTAAGGTTCTAAGGCATTTGTTGTATTTGTTTTATTTTACTTTTTGAATTCTAAACTACATCCTTGGGTTTAGAGTCTGAAGGAATTGTATTCTAGCCCTCATTTTATTACAGTAGCTGGGTGATGGTGGCAAATGAGAGTATCCTACCAGTCGTCTTTGGAGAGGACACTTAGCTTGCTGTGGCTGCTGGAAGCCTTTCAGGGTGCTTGGGGGTCCTTGTCTCTCTTAGGTCTGACTTCCAGTTGCCAGCTGTATATGACATCCCTGTCTTCCTTTGGGAAATTGTACATCCTCTGACACCTTGAGCTCTTTGGTGGTGGCACCACCTGCCAGCCAAGCCTTTGGCTGCTACTGATGGAAGGGTGGCGTTTCTGGGCCCATTTGAGCATTTCCTTGCAGCGGATTTCAGCCTGTGTTCCCAAATGTCCTAGGCCCAGAGCAAAGTCTTTCAAACTTTAGCTTCCCTGAGACTACTGGGAAGGCTTATTTAAAAAGATTGCTAGGCTCCAGCCCCAGCATTTCTGATTCAGTAAGGATAGAGAAAATGCATTTGCAACACACCCCAGGAGAGAATAATGTGGATTGCATAAAGACCTTAGAGGTTCCCCTTGGCCTCACCACGTGGCTTCATATCCCAGTTACATCTTGCAAGTCCAGATAAGATTTTATTCAGGAAAAAGGTTTACTTTAAAGTTTGAGTACTGGTGTTTTGTTGCTTTTTATTATTTCATAGAAATCGATGGAAAATGAAAATTAAGAAAGCTAATGTTAGTGATACGGGGGGCAGATGTTAATATGGATGAAACAAAGACTGAAATTACTGAATTTGTCAAAAAGAGAGCCCCGTTGTCCTCTCAAGGCACACTCTTTGGACTTAGGCTCTGTGGTTCAGTGCGATGGAAAATATTAAATATAAATTGCTGAATACCATCTTTAAAAAAAAGGAAGGGAGCTCAATTAAAGATTTCATGCTTTTTTAAGTTTGAGGGGAATAGATCCCCAACCTAACGGTACATAAGTACCTTTCCAGGAACTCATTGTGTGTAAGAGGAGGAGGCGGCTGGCAAGGTTTCTTCAGATGAAAGCCTAAAGGAAACTAAACATCACAGCAGTTACAGCTCAATTTATTGGGTTGGGTCAAAGTAATCCTACAGGGTGAGACTCTTCACTTATGGAGCGGAGGCAAACAACACATGAGGCCCTTCATTTCACAGAGTAGGTGGGAAGGCCACGGCTTGGGTGAACCTTTAGATAAAGTGGATTCTTAAACATGAAGGTAGCTCTCTATTTCTCTGTCTGTACAAGAGACCCGTTGGAGTTACAGAAAGGCCGGGACCCAAAACCTCAAGTAGGACTCACTTTCCTGTTAAGAGTGTGAGTCGCCTTTAAAAATGATTTTATTTTTGGACGATACTTAGGTTTCAGGATATTCTTTACTTCTGACACCCACAGGAATAAAAGCACCAAGTTCAGGGTTTGACAGAAGTCTAAATGCTTGTTTAAAAAAAAAAGAAAAAAAAGAATATCCTTGCAAGAAAATTAAGAGCTGTAGAAAGGGCTCAGAAGTGCTGATAGAGGAATCAGGGAATAAACGTTTAAAAAGCAGACCCCTACCCAGCCTAAGAGTCAAGGGCAGACTTAACACAGGTTGTTGGCCTTCCACCTTGGCCTCATTGTTAGGTCTGAACCAACATCAGGGTTTTTTTTTTGTTGTTGTTGTTGTTTTTAGCAACTTAGTAATGATTCTTGGTGGAAGAACCTGCATTTGACATCAGATTTTCGGGACGTTGTAATTCCCGGGAGCTTGCACTGCCCGCACGCTGAGCAGCGAGAGGGGCCGCGGTCCGCCCGCCCGCCCCACATCTGCTGGCGGAGCGGAGGCTGGAAGGGACCGGCCGGCGCGCGCCCCCGTCCGCAGACGCTTCCCTGTCCGCGGGCCCGCCTGGCTGCGGGGCTCGCGGCGGGCAGCGGCGGGCAGCGGCGCCCGCCCCTCCGGCTCCGGGTCCACCCTGCCTTCAGCCCCGGGCGCCACGCGGGCGGCGCGGCGGGGACTGCGGGGCCTCCTCGCGTCGCCGAGCCGGGACCCCGGGGCGTCCCCGCCGCCGGCACTCCGCTGGGGCGCTGGGGGCTCGTCTGCAGACGCCCCGGTTAGGGATGCAGCCTGCAGGTCGGGGCTCGTCCTCCACGTCCTCCGGGCCCGGACACGCCGGCCGCGGCCGTGGGGCGGGCGAGCGCGGAGCACGGCGCTCCCGGCGGAGGCAGCGCGCGGCCCGGGTGCCCGGGGCATCCCCGCGGCGGGGGGGGGGGGGGGGCGGGGGGCGGAAGGCCGGCGGGGCGGGCGGCAGGAAGGGTCGGCGGCGCCCGAGCTCCGCCCCTCCGGCCGCCAGCCCGCGGGCCCGCACGGTGAGTGGCAGCGGCCGGGGGGCGGTGCCAGCGGAGGGGGCGGGACCGCGCGCGCTGATTGGCGGCGGGGCGGGGGCGGGGCCGGCGGCGGGGCGGGGCCGGCAGCGGGGCGGGGCCGGGGACGGGCCGGGGGCGGGGCGGGCCGCGGGCGCTGGAGCTGCGGGCGGACGGGCGGGCGGCTCGGGCGGCTGCAGCGGAGTCGGAGGAGGCGGCGGGCGCGGCGAGGGCGGCGGGCTAGCGGATCGGAGGCGCCGCGCTCGGACCGGGGACGGCGGGCGGGTCGGGGCCGGGTCAGAGGCGCGTCGGAGGCCGCCGCCGCTGCAGCCCGGGCCCCCGCGGAGGAAGGAAGCCGGCCGGCGGGGGAGGTAGGCGGCGGCGGCGGGTCCGGGTGTGTGTGCGCCCGGGAGGGGGAGGCCGTGCGTGCGCGCGGCGGCGGCCGCTCTCTTCCTGTCACCAGCCGCCGCCGCTGCAGAGCCGAGCCGGGAGGGAAGCGGGCCGCCGGCCTCACGGGTTCGCGGCCCGGCCCTGCGTGCTCCGGCCGCCCCCGAGCTCCCGAGTCCCGGGCCCTGTTCGGCGCTGGCCCTGCACGCCCCCGGGCTCCGAGCGCCCCGAGTTGCGGGCGCTGCGGCGCCCGTCCGCACCCCTCCGCTCCCGCGCACTTGGGAGGATCCTTACGGTCGCCGGCTGCGGTTTTCCGGGGTCCTTCACCGAGGAGAGCGCGCAGCCCGTTGCCCTGGAGTTAGCGGCGGGAGCGGAGCCTTCCCCGCGTCCTCCGGCTGCAGCGGGGTCGCTGCCCGGGCCCTTCCGCGGGGCGGGCGGGGCGGCGGGGGTCCCCGGAGCTCGCCCCGAGCCCCCGCCCTCCGGAGCTGCCGGCCTCGTCTTCCGGGGTGGGGGAAGTGCGCCTCGGGGCGTCTGGGCCGGCCTGGCTTGGGCCGGTCGCGGGAGGCTCACATCGAGCGGGGTCCTCGGAACTGCCCGGAAATCCAGCTCTCGGGCGCGCGGGGCGAGCCTGGAGGGAGCTGCCCGGCGCCCTGGAGCCGGCCGGGGAGGGCCGGGCCGTCGTGGGGGACCGTCGGGCCACTCAGCCTGGGCACTCGGTCCCCCAGGGCAGGAGGTGCCCCGCAGATTCCAGGACAAAGAGCCCCGGGGAGCCCAGGCCGGCCGCTCCGCACGGACCCACGGGTCCCCGGGATCCACACGCCGGTGGCCGGAATTCCAGCCCGAAATGCGAGGTGGGAGTGGAAGGGCTGTCACACGAGTGCACAGCGCGTGTGAGCTGGACCTGGGGGACAGTCTTCGGCTTCCCTGAGTGCTATTAATATCAAAAAGGTCTCCCTTCCACCCGTTAATCCCCGGTGGAGCAGCAGCACCGTTGGTGGTTTGAGTTTACTCTTCATCTGGGGGCTTTGGAAGCGACACGTTGGGTTTGTTTGCTTGGTTGGTTTTTTTTTTTTTTTTTTTTTTTTTTTTGGTATTTTTTCTATTTTCTTTTTCTGTCCCGTTCCTCTCCTCTTTGTCATTCAGTGCGAAGTAGGACTGGATAAAGCAGTTCCGGGTTTTGAGTGCAGCAGAAGACTGTCATTTCAGTGTAATGAAGGTTCAAGTTTTTAGTTATGAGGCGGGACATTCGCCAAGCTTATTGACCCGGGCTTTTATGTTGGATTCTATTTTAATGTTTCATTAGCTTTGGGTCGCGTTTTGCAACTTTAAAGACGGGTAGAGAAGATGGGAGAAGACGGGAGAAGACAAGTTCATTTCTAAGGCATGCTGTCACAGTAATGGATCTTCAAGGTGGGAATCATTGGGAATTTGGTGAGTTCTCCCCAGAAGGCCACAGATGGGTTTTTATCTTTAAAAAAAGAACCTCCTCCCCATATGGGTTTTGATAGGTTACACTGTTCTAGAAATAAAACACCTAAAAATCAGTAGAGGGCAGTTTTTTAGAAACAGAAGTTGCCTACACTTGGGGGAGCAAGTGTTTTTGGTTGTTACAAAGAAAATACCCTACGATTAGTTTGAGGGGCGGGGGTGGTGTCCCTCAGAAGTTTGAGGTGTGTTTGGTTCAGAATCAAGCTTTTTTACTGGAAAGGTCAGTAGAGGAAACTACCTGCTTTGCAGAATTGTTGGGTTGTGTCACTGCTGGCCTCTTCAGCTTTTATATGCCAGTTGCAGGTAGGTCGTAGATAGTGATAATTTTTTTCATGACAATGTGTATAGGTTTTTCGGTGATTGGAAGGAAGATACCTGTATATCATATTGGCTTTCCAAGTGTGACGTGCTTTTGCTTTTTAACTTCCATCTTGATTTGGAACCTGTTCTTGTCAGTTGCATAACAGAACTCTAGTGTACACATGTCTATCTGCTCTTTTATCTGCTTTTGTAAAATGATGTTATCACTGTGTCTTCACATCTGTGATGCTGATAGTGTGAAGAAGCACTTCACTTCCCATCAATTAATTGTCTTAACCATTTTTCGAAATTTATTTATTAAGATCAGGAAATTCCCATAGCATAAAGTTACTTTTGGGGGACAGAAGTGGTACAGATACGTTATAGTGAATACATATTCTGGTTTGGTAGTGGTGCCTTGTAGTATGTGTGCATTTATCTCCTGGAAATGCCGAGTTTTGAAGAGTTTTGTATCTTAAATGCAAACATACACCAGCTGCCCAAAACTCGTGTTATTAAAAGTGATCATACGTGCAATTACACTTTTCCACGAATTCCGTGTAATTTTAAAGGTACCGTGTTGGTTAGAATGTCCTTTTTTTTTTTCTTAGGTAGTTCAGGGATCAGGTTCTAAAAAGATATCCACTCTGAAAGATTGTCCACTTGCTCATTAAAACAGGGACAATTTCAGTTCACCTTTTGTTGTGTTTGCATTTTGTGATCTCCAGAATGCATTGTATTTAATAAAGAGATGATGAATGAGCATATTTAAAGAAACTGATTTTATGGTCAGGTATGTGATAAAAAGCTGAGATAATAGTTGCATTTGTGGTTTTGTTTTTAATTCTCTCACCTGTGGGCACACACCATGCAGAAGAAAATGGAAAGTGCTTTTCTCTGTACGTTACACGTTTTAGACAGGCTCCCCACAGATCTGTTTGGAAGGGCACAGGGATTTGCCAGTGAACTCAAGAGAATGGAGCCTCTTAGTGAAGCTCTCAGAAAATGAGGTTACTTATCAGTGGAAGGAATGGCTTATCAATTCAGTTTTTTACCTTAGAAGGCACAAGATAAATTATATAAATTTTTAATCAGAAACTTGGGTTGTAAGTAATTTTTAAAATATTCATATTATTTATTGCTTTTTTTGTCTGGCTCCTCCACCTACATCAGTGTGATTTCTTGCTGTGCCTCAGCCATCTCTCTTACTGGAATTTTTTTGCCTAGAAGAATGGCGATTAAAGGCCATTTCACATGCATTATGCCAAATGAGCTGAAAAATAGGCGACATAATTACTCATAAACTTGTCTGGCTTATGTTAGTTTTTTTTTTTTTTTCTTTCCCCATGTATACAATGAGCATAGCATAGTTTTTGCTGAAAAAAAAAAATCCTGCTATAAAAACATCTTTGGAGATTTTACCCTCCCAGCATTGTTTTCCTTAAAGTAAACCAAATACATTCCCACAGGCACCGGTAGTCAAAATAGGTTCTGGTTAAGGATCACCCCCAGAGAGTACTGGCCAAAGTGTGAGGAGACTCCCCCAGGGTTCAAGAGTGAGTTAATAAAGGGAGGTGCCTGTGCAGGCAAGCCTTGCCCCTCCCCTTCCTGGCTGGACCTCAGGGTTCAGACCCTGAACCCAGTGCCCTGCAGGAGCTAGGGCTGAAACCTCAGGCGGCAGCTACCTTTAGTCCCTGGAGGACCTTTTCTTTCCTCTTTGAGGGCAGCTAGGGAGCAGCCACCTAACCCTGTTGAAGAGCAGCATTGGCCCCTCCCCTGTCTCCTTTGCCCTGACCTCTCTGGAGCCACCCCTCTCCCTGGGGCTCTGAGACAACTAGGTGGGCAAAGTCCACAGGCAGCCTTTTTTTGTCTCTCTTTATTCTGAAAAAGGAGTTAAAGGGACAGCCGAGAGTTTTATTTGGGGCTAACTTGAGGATTCCTTTACAAGAATTTGCAAGCTTTTAGAAGCAGTGCAAAAAAAAAAAAAATTCCTAGCAAATATTTCTGTTTCAAATATGAATTATATAAATGGCAGTAAGAGATGCTGGATACTAGTAGTGACGACAGTAGTAATGGTGGCAGTAATGACACAGCTGTGTGACATAAAGCAGATTGTTTAACTTTTCTGTGCTTGTTTCCTCATCTGCAGAATGGGGATGGTCATTGTAGTAAGGGTTCATTGAGTCCATCTGTGCAAAACTCCTAAGAGCTGCGGCTGGCCCCTAGTAAACACTGTGGTAGTGTTAATTATATTAAGCTCTAATTATCAAGCACAGAGCTAAGTACTTTACATACGCAATTTCATATAATCTTCCTAGTAACCCTGGGAGTTGTAGGTTTGCTTATTGTGTGTTTCACAAATGATAAAATTGTGCCACGGAGAGATCTCAGTAACGTGCCCAAGGTTAAAAATCCCGACAGGGATGGGGATGGCTGCCTGCATCTGAACCTCAGTGCTTACACTAATCTTCTCATTACTTTAGGGTTGATCTAACTTTGCTCTAACTTGGATTTTTATGATGTCCAGGACACTGTATTTGAAAGGTGAAGGGATTTTTATTTTTAAAATATTTTATTTATTTGAGAGAGAGAGAGCATGAGCAAGAGGAGGGGCAGAGAAAGCAGCAGACTCCCTGCTGAGCTAGGAGCCCAACGTGGGCTCCATCCCAGGATCCTGGTATCAGGACCTGAGCCGAAGGCAGATGCTGAACCCACTGAGCCCCGCAGGTGCCCCAGAAAGGTGAAGAGATTTTTCAATGATGGTTTGGTTCTTTAGGACTCTGAATTTAGGCTGAGAGCCTGCCCTGGACTCAGAGCTAGCCTAGGGAGGATGGAGAAGTAGAATGTAGGCAAGTGTGGGTTAGGACCCAGGAAGCCTCCATGGTTTTTGCAGCTGAGATGTAGACCCAGTGTGTGCTGGGACCCAGTACCAAGCTGCTCATTTAATCACAGGAATAGGGATCCCTGGGTGGCGCAGCCGTTTAGCGCCTGCCTTTGGCCCAGGGCGCGATCCTGGAGACCCGGGATCGAATCCCACTTCGGGCTCCCGGTGCATGGAGCCTGCTTCTCTCTCTCTCTCTCTCTCTCTCTCTCTCTCTCTCTCTGTGACTATCATAAATAAATACAAATTAAAAAAAAAACTTTAATCACAGGAATAGAATCGTATGCTTGGAGCGAATTCCTGATTGATTTAAAGTGATTTAAAAATATCCTGTATTCCTGTCTCCCCACCAAGTTTGCTAAATCCTTGTCCTTTGTAAAAGGAGAATGAGTAAGTTAGCAAAGTCAGAGGACTTTTCAAAGAATTTGGTTTGGTTCTTTGCCAGAATGCCTGCGGGTTAGAGGGTTCAATTGAAAATTCACATCCAGGCCCTTGTATGCTAAGAAGTCACGGGTTGCTGATTGTCAGGCATCAAATACAACTTTATTCTGAGGAACAAAATAAGAATGGCACAGTATCTTCTCAAAGAGAGAAAATATACATTGATTAGTGGTGTGGCAGGCAGGCAGCCTTTAAAGGGATTGAAAGACTAGAATACAGTAATTACCCTTAAAGAAATTTCTAACTGTTGCATGTGATGTTATGTAAGAGTAAGTTAGTTTTTGTTTATAAGATTCCTTTATCTCTTTTGTTACAATAACTTACATATGCACCAGCTTGGCTCCTAGATCCTAAAATCCGCATTGCTTATTTGAAAACAGTGAATGATGGACGGGTGGGTATTAGCCACACACAAAACCCTTACTATGTTTTTTTTTTTTTTTTTTTTAACCCTTACTATGTTAACAATTATGTTGGAGCTAGGTGGAAGTACTTCCTTGGACCCGTAAATGTAGCCAAAGAGATTGGAGGCATAGTGTTGTGAATCTGGGCCACATATATCCTGTGGACCTCGGTAGTTCAGGCTCCTGATTGATCCTGGGAGGGTTACGTTGCCCAGGGACTGGCAGTGTCTGAGGCTGCTGAGCCTTCTGCAGTCCTGGGGAGAACTTGAAGGTGAGAGGAAAAAAAAAAGGGAATTGGCCAGTTGTCTAGATGTGATAATTCTTGTGACTGAATTAATGCTTCGCATATTCCCCTGTGGAGGAGCTGAGCTGTTAGGAACCGTGCAGTCGGGGTCTGGGATATCGGGAGGGGGACCTAAATGCCAGGAGGAGTACAGGTGGCAGAAAGCTTCAGCTCAGAGAGCAGAAGTGGGCAGGATTCCAGAAGTGGGCAGCCTTCCAGAAGTGATGTGCCCAGTATCCTCTCATTCACTAGTTTATAGACTTCGTTGGCAAGGAGGCGCTTTACTGAAGTCTCTTTGAAAGAAAAATTTGCATTGTCCAAGATACTGGGCCCTGAACTCGATGGAACTGCTGCCAAGTTGTGGTGGCTTTTTTTGGGCAGGTGTGTTTGTAAAAGAGCCACAAACACTACCAGGCCACCCTTACAGAGAGTAAATAAAAATCAGACATTTAGGGTTAAGCTGAGGGGTCAGAAGGTGCAGGCGAAAGTACCTGCATCATGGACACCGAGGACCTACCTGGGCTGTCCTTGGTCATCAAAGCAAGGTGAATTTGGGTGGTAGATTCTGGTGGTGGCGAAAGCGGTGGCCTTGGAACCCGACTTCTTGAATGAGAATTGTGATTCCACCTCTCCATTGCTGAGTTTAGTGATCATGGCCAAGGTACTAAATTCTCTGCACCTCAGTTTCCTCCTGTGCGAGGTGAGAATGCTGGTAGCGCTGCCTCAGGGCTCTGCTGAGTATTGAACTTGCTGATACGCATGCAGTTCCTAGCATGCAGTTCCTAACCCGCAGTAGGTGCTAATGGTTTAGGGGTTAATACGCAGGGCTCCCACCACGCGTTAGATGAGGATTGAATAGATGAGCACATGCGGCGCTTCCACGATGACCACAGTGGAGGGGACAGTCATCGAGATGGGCATGTGCCTGCCTCTTCCCTGGCCAAGGCCTCTCTGCACTTTGCCACGGGACACTGTGCAGTCGCTGCCCAGATGACTAGTCAGTTCTCCATTCTCTTACAAGGTTGCTCTCCAACCACTTAGTTGGCACTGACTTTTGGCCAACCTTGAATTGTTTTGATTGATCTTCCGGGCCTTGACATCGTGGAGTCCCAGAAGACGGGAATGGTGTGTTCTTACAATCCTAGCATCGTAGAAGATGAGGGCTTTTGTTGATTTGGGGTTTTTTGGTTTTTTATTGTTTGTTTTTTAAAATCAGATGCAGGCCCAGAATTCTGTATGGGATTCCTCTCACACAGAAAGTAAGGTTCTCCTTTTAAAAACAGTGAGGGGTAGGAATTCATAATCACGTAGGTCTCTGGCATCTGGGTTGGGGATTGCTACCCTCCGTCATTGGGCTCCTCGTGGAGTCTTTTTTTTTTTGGGGGGGGGGGGCACAGGTTTAGCCTCAGGCTGACATCCACACAGTTTTCAGGTTTGTAAAACCTGGACCAGATGTGGGGCCTCTCCTTAGTGTAGTGCCCCCTGTTTAGGAACATGCACATCTGCACAGGTGTGCTGTGATCAGGGGCCCAGTGGTTGCTGAGGGCCATGTAGGGGAGAGAGTAATTATGAGAGAGAGACAGGGAGGGGGAGGAGGAGGATATAATAACTCTCCATTCTGTTAAGAATCTCACCAAACTGGCCCACTGGGTTGTTGAAATAGAACAAGCCATAGGCAGCAGCTGGTGGAAAGATCTATCCAACCTACTAGTTGAGGATTTTTTTTTCCCCCAAAAAAGACCTACATTGCCAGGAAAAGCTAACAAAAATTTCAAGGCAGATTTGGAGGAATTAAATTATTCTTAGGCATGTTGCCTGGTTTCCAGGCATTTAGGGATATGTAAATGTTCATGTTCTTCAGAGTTCTGTGTCTCATTTGTACAGAGTACATTAGTACTAAAAATGAGATTTGCTAGTTCTACATTTTTTGTGTGAATTTCTGCAGTGGATGTTTGATTCAGGATCCATCAAAAGGAGAAGTTGTCTTCAAACATAATATAGTTTATTTTTCTAATACACCCTGCTGGTTGCTTTAGGTTTTGTTTTGTTTTCCATTTAATCTGATGATGAAATACAAATAGAATACTATCTCAAATTAATATTCTTACTACTCAGAAGTTTCCAATGTTTGTTTTTGCTTCTTTTAATACTAACTCTCCTAGGAGTGTCATTGGACTCCCACAGAGAGGCTCTAACCACGTACAGTTCGGTACTTGACACTTCTGAGTGCCAATGTCACTAGATGTGGGTTGGATTTTGTGCATTAAGATGCATATACCGACAAGTTCCTAGAATACTAAACTGGGTGGCTCAGCGGTTGAGCACCTGCCTACAGCCCGGGGTGTGATCCTGGAGTCCCGGGATCGAGTCCCTCATCAGGCTCCCTGCAGGGAGCCTGCATCTCCCTGTGCTTGTGTCTCTGCCTCTCTCTCTCTCTGTCTCATGAATAAATAAATCCTAAAAAATAAAACCTAGGAAGCTCCCTTTGATGCAGCGCACTGATTGTATGTGGCCGTCGTTTATTGCTTCACTGCTGGGCTAGCTTAACTGGACCTTTTAAGTTGCTTTTACTCTCTACAATAAACCTAGGGTTGAGAAATGACCGGAGTGCAAAGCGTGTACATGTACACCCTGTTCTGTTGGCAGGCCACGTGCTTACTTGCTCTCTAGTGAGTCTTTAATTCCTCTGTTAAAAAAAAAAAAAAAAAGCAAAAACTTGCCCTACTTGTTTCCCCCCACACCAGGGCTATCTTTCCAGGGTGATCTGCAGCAACCATTTCTACTTCCTCTTCAGTTCCTTGACTCCTTCAGTTCTAGAGACTGTCCTCACTCACCTCTAGCCCAGGGTATGCTGGTGAGGATACTGTGGTGGGCAGGGCCCCGGGTCACCTAGCCTTGCCTCAGTTTCCCCCTGCTGGAGGTCCCTTGCAGGATTTAGTCCTAGGGATCGCCTTTCACCACCAGACTCGTCTTGTCTTACCCATTGTTCCCAAACATAGTGTGTCTCCAGACCTTCCCTTGGCTTTTGAGGTTGCATTCAGGGAACCCACCCCCCTCCGTGTTTGAGCCTTGAGCTGTCCTTGCACCAGCAGTGTTTCTTCCCTGTGAGTGCCCCCTCCACACTGGCAGTTGCATGGCCTGCCTGCCCTCAAGCCTCCCCAGGTCAGCTCCGGGTTGGCTTTTTGCACCTGTTGACTGGCGTGAGCAGCAGCATGCACACTCATGCGATCCCTGTGCTGTCTGTCGTTCCGTCCGTGCCCTTCCATACCCCGTGCTGCGGCCTCCTGTGCCAGGGCAGCGTCCGTGGCTCTCCTGCCCCCCAGTTCCTACCCCCCTCCCCCCCCTTCACGGTGGTTGCACTCTGATTCCTCAGGCGCGTCTGTGATGTCATTGCTCCTCTTTCTCGAAGCATGTTCGGCGGCTGAGTTGGCCCAGTGCTCCCGGGCCCCGAGCGGCAGGTGGCGGGTCACACAACCCCTGCCCGTCTTTCTCCCCTGGATCTAGGTTCCCTCTTTGGCTTCCGATGCTTGGGACTGCGTGTGCTAGCTCTTCCCAGAACGTGGCATCTGCTTAGTCACCTCGGCCCCTGAGGTCGTGCCGCACATTCCGCTCCGTGTTCAGATCCCGCGGCTGGACGCGGCTCCTCCTGCCTCGGAACCCAGCAGCGATCCGGCCCGGTCTCTGCTGTTTGCCTGGTGTTTCTGGTCCCCTGTGGACCATCCCCCTGGGGGCGCTGCCACGTGCCAGCACACCTCCGGGCCCTGCCTCACGTTCCTGGAAGGCAGGGACGCTCTTCCTGAACCCTGTGTGTATATCGTGTTGAGCAATAGCGCGCTGGCCCGCACGTGGATGCCAAATTGATTAAATACTTGTTGAATGGAAATAGAAATTCAGATTCACACAGATGGCAGAGTGTGATGTTCATTCATAAGTCTTGTTTTTCCTTTTGCTAGGTGAAGCTCGCGTGTGGAGTGACACAGTACAAATCAGACGCCAGATGGACAGTGTGACAAAAACGTCAGAAAGGATTGGGCCTCGCTGCGAGAATCAGCCTGGAGGCCAAGTGTTGACAAGCTGCTGAAAAGGAAGCCAGTGGGAGAACTGTGGGCTGCAGAGGAAGTGGACCCCGTCTTCAGTCACACCATTGATGGAGGACAGATGGACAGCCGGACATCCAGTCATCTCTCCTCTTAAACCTTTGGAGAGCTGTCCTCTGTCCTCTACTGGACACATATTACGAGTCTTAACATCCTCTCTGAATTCACTTTCCATAGAAACGTAAGACTAGACTTGAGTGTGTGACCAGACTCTTGAGTTGCATGGTCGCAGGTTCGCAGACATGAGTGCCGAGGGCTACCAGTACCGGGCGCTGTACGATTACAAGAAGGAGCGAGAGGAAGATATTGACCTGCACTTGGGTGACGTCTTGACTGTGAATAAAGGGTCCTTAGTAGCTCTTGGATTCAGTGACGGACAGGAAGCCAGGCCTGAGGAGATTGGCTGGTTAAATGGTTATAATGAAACGACGGGGGAAAGAGGGGACTTTCCGGGAACTTATGTTGAATATATTGGAAGGAAGAAAATCTCCCCTCCCACACCAAAGCCCCGACCCCCTCGACCCCTTCCTGTGGCACCAGGTTCTTCGAAAGCTGAAGCAGACAGTGAGCAACAGCAAGGTCAGTATTAGCGAATGATTGCTTTGTGACCTCTGTGTGTGTGTGGGGGGGGGGGCTGTTTTTTTTTTTTTTTTTTTTTTTTTTTTTTTAAAGCCTGAGATTTGCGTCGGGCTGTAGTGCTCTGTGAAGAATTCATTTTGGCCACTTTATCTGAATTTATGTATGGTATACAAAAGCTTGATCAATCATGACAAGACTAGAAGTTTGTGTTTGTGGGGTAGAGAGTTGTAAGACGAGGAAGATGGTGTATGAGAACTTGCTTCGTGGGCGCCTTTAAACCCTGTTATTATTCTTGCCATGGAGTTAAACATTTACTACATTCTTCCTCTTGCAACAGGCATTAATATATTTAAATAATCACTTGGGGGAAAGTAGAGGGTAAGTCTAATGTTCATATATTTCACATTAATTTGATTTGTATGGGAAAATGTAAGAGCCATAAAGTGACCACAGGACTCCACAGAGGAGAAAGCATTGTTTTTATAACCTGGTATCTCCTTCTTGGTTTCCTCTCCAGAAACACGGTGGCTGAAGCTGACACCTAATCCTGTGCTCAGCATAGATGGGGAGACAGTTCTCTTCCTTCATGGGCAGTGTGATTCGTAGCATTATTGCCTCTAGTGTGTTTGGCCTTCGTGAGAAAAGAAAAAAAAAATAGACTGATTGTTTTTCTTAAATGGAAACCACCTTGATTGAAAACCTTCTCCTGGTTTTTTATTGGAGCTGGTCCATGCTTGAGCTTTGTGCACAGCTGGTCGTTTAAGGTTTTTCTGCTGTTCAGTTTCCCACAGAGACAAGACCTTTGCTCAGCTTTGCTGTTATGACCTTTGTTAAAATGCTCATTTCCTCATTAGTACATTTCAGGCTTTCTTTTGTCTTACTTAATTTTTTTTCCCCCTCAGGCTAAGAAAGGTTTGGAAAGGTAGGTTTAAAACAGGTGGGCCCGGCTGCTGTGGTTGCACATTAAGTACAACCTGCCTATGGCATTACAGCGTATTTCTGGAAGGGATTCTGATACTATTATGCCTTCTTAAATGTTGGCTTATTCTAGCACATGGAGTGAAGTGACGTGAGAATAACAGAGCAGAATGCAAGGATAAATATCTGCCTTTTGGCACTGAGTAATAATACGATAGCCAATATTTTGTAGAAGTCAAGTGTTCCTGCCTAGAGACACCTGAAGGGATGTGCTCTTTCCTCCCTGCCCGACCCTGAGGGGTACTTGTTTGATGAACATTATACTGTTACTTTATAAGTAATGTCCAAAAAATGTCTTTTGCTCTATAGCTGAAAAGCAAAAGTTACTTTTTCTTTGCAAGTTTAAGTCAGAAAAGCTTGACCACTTACGTATGTGTAGTTCTGCAAACCATTGCATTGCACCGAGCAGATGGAAAGTGGATACGTTCTTGTTTTTTTTTTCCCCACCAAACTACATATTTTTAATTTGGCTGTTTTATTTTTCAAGTTAAAAGCAAAACACTAAAGTAGGCTAATTCAAAAGGCAAAATTACTTAATTTGTCCCAGAATACAGAAGATCACAGAATCCTACAGGTATCTGTGTTGGATTAGAAAAGATTAGTTAAAACGTGGAAAAAAGGGGGTATCTTGTCAAGATTAGTGACACAGAGATTGGGAAAAAATAGTTTCTAAGCAAAATTGCATTTGATAACTACTATTAGGTGTAACTCTCATTATAAGCAAAAGGATTTTTCTCTTTTTTCCGTCCTAACCTATTTTACAGTGTTTTTTTTCTCATGTGATATGGTGACATTTGAGATTTTTCACAGCCTTTTCTTTTTCCTTTGTAACACATGAAAAGGCAGAGTAATTGAAAATTTTTAGCAGAATTTAGGAAAGAAACCCATAATCATGTGTGCATTCAGGTATTAGAAAGAGTGGGCCTAAATATAAATGAGAAATTAGGAGTAACCAAAAGGCAGCATCGTCAGTATGGGCAGGTCGTGAGGGGAGTGTAGAACTGAACATTAGATTTTCTGGAAATGCTGGTCTTCCATTCTGCTTTAAGTAGAATTTGTCTGAAACGAGAATTCAGTAGCTTGTACTAAGTGCATGTCAAATCGATAAGGAAAATAGTTGTAAGGATGAATATGTTGGGACACTGGGATTCTGGTGTCTTGAGCCCACGTGGATGTTTATTTGGAGGCCTTCGCAGCGAGCAGTTGTGGGACAGCAAGAGAAGAGGGTTCTTTTCTTACCGTAACTGTATTTATTCTTCAGCACTTTTTTACTCTCCTGACTTGATTTAGCCTGTTTTTTGTGTTAGACTTTGTTACTTAGAAGGTCACCCCTGAGGCCTAAGGTCAGATGCAGGTCTCCTGTGGAGATAGTGTCAAATGGAGAGTTGGTGCTCCGCCCGCCCCCAGCGGCTGTGGGATAGATAGAGGGTGCTTACATGCCTGGGTGCCTGCGAATTGTGTGGTTCTTGGCTCCTGCTCTGCTAACCTTCTCTCTCTAAAAAGTGGTGACTGGACTCTGGCCGGAAGTGGACTGTGTGAGGGATTCCTCATGTGAGAGAAGCCTTGTTTCCTTGAATGTTCTTGGAGAGAAAGCTGTGAAGTTAAGCTCTTGAAACCCATTTGAAAATCTAAACCTTCCACCAGCACATTTTGCGTAAAGTCTCTTAGGAAGCCCGGCCTGTCCATCGAATTGCGTTTGTTCCCTGGACATTGTTGTATTTACCGGCTTCAGCGTCCTTCATTCAGTTGGCCTGGACTGCATCCCTCCCTATTTTGTGCTGGGAAGTAGTGATGAAGAATGAAATCAAGATTGAGAGAGAGCAAGCATACCGCGTCCTTCCTCCTTCCACCTCAGGGCTGTGCTCCCTTCCCCCCTCTGGGGTGGCTCTGCCTCACATCCCTCAGGCGACCTACCCTCAGCTCTGCTCCGACCTCACGGAGGAGGCTGGCCCTGCTTACCCTGTTTCACGTGGTGACCCGCCCCTCTGCGTTTGCAAAAGCATTTCTTACCTCACCTGCTGTAGAATTTACCTGATGGTTATTCTCTGTTCCCTCCGGTAGATTGTTGGCTCTGTGGCGGCGGGCTTCTTGGTGGTTCCTCTGTTATCCCAAGGATCTAGAATAGCGCAGCAGGTTCTTAGTGAAACAGAGGCTTGCTTTTGAGGTTCATCCTCTAGCTGTTACACAGCTCAGGTGACTTGAAAGGAGAGCCACGTCCTCTGGGTCCTCTGGACGTGCAGGCGCCCAAGGCGCTAGCAGCCCATCCTGTGGTTAGAAACACAGTTGTCAGAATTCGCATCATTCGCCTCTGAGGACTCTTGCAGCCTTGGCCTTGACCCTTGCATATGGTCTACAAAACTATTCTACTCCAGCGCGTAGGTTATAGGCAGTTCTGCTAGTGGGAAAGTGTGCTGAGCTGATAGTGGGTTCTCTTAGCCACGTGAGCAAAGCGATTAGAACATGTGTCAAGATGAGCGAGTGTCCTCAGGCACAGATCCTATTCCCTCACCCCTCCTTTCATCTCCCTCCCTTTGCTTGGGGGCTGAAGTTGCCACCAGGAGTGTCGCATTACACTTTCCCACAACCTAGCGAAGCCCTTCTTGACCTTCTTTGGAGAGAATGTCTGCAGTGTTCTGTACAGGTGAAGGGTGTGCAAATTGGGTGTCGCATGGTCCTTAGGGGAGCCATGCTGTGGAAAGACAATACCCTAGCTCTTTCTGCATTAGGCTCTTCAGACCCTGGAACTCCGTTCCCAAACACACAACCCCATTCATCCCTGGTCCCCGTTTCCTCTGTACGCAAAGAAGGGATGGAGGTGGAGATGTGGTCATAAAGGAATGGAAGTGTATTCCTTTCTTTCATATATAAGCCGTCCAGTGGGCTGTTGCTTGAGACCGTATTTTGTGATTCTTTAAAGTCATGCTAACGGAGAATATTTAGACTAGGGCCAAACTAGCATCTCATTACACAGACTCGTAACCATGTTAGTTTGTATGGAACACTGGAATCTGCTAACTTGAGAGAGCACGTAGGGATCCGAGTTCATACCAACCCCCTCCCCCATCCACACGCCCCTTACCAGCTCCCACCTCTGTCCAGACCCTGACAGCGAGTCCCAGATCAGCTGGTTCCACACGTAAAACATAAAGCACACATCGGATGAGGCCTGTTTTGAATTCTGATCACAATTCTTTCTGAGCAGAGAAAGAAAAGAGCCCGTAACCTGTCTTTGCTTTCAGGGTTTCTGCGGCCAAGTTATTTTTAGTTGCCACACTCCGCATTTGAGTCTCCTCCCCGGTTGTCGCTCCTCGTCTAGAAAGCAAGGCTGCAATAAATCACATACGTTGACCACACTGTGCAGTGGTCACCGAAGAGAGCGACGCGATCCCAAATCACACACCTGCGCTGATCCTCATGGTCCTAACGTATTGCTGTTGCTCAGCCGTATAGTGCCTTGGAAGTACTTTGCTTCACGCATCCCTGCCTGTAGGACTTCCGTTTTGGTTGAGCTCTTGCCTGGTCATAACGGTCTTCACCTTTTGTCCGACATCAGTGAGACTTTGCTTGAAGTTGGAGGATCGTCCTGTTGAGCTCCCCTGGGTTGGTTGGGTAAGCCCACCTGCCTCGGGGTGCTCACTGCCCAGGGACAGGGGCTGAGGCTGCTTTGGTGAGAAAAGCAGGCCTGGTTAGAGGGTTTTTGAAGATAAAGGCCTCAGAGCCCTGCCATCTAACTGCCCCCCCTGGAAAAACTCATCAGAACACTAGAGATTTTTACCCAGGTGTGAAAATTTAAGCATTTGGCCTCTGTGTTTTAATATGACATGAAACGCATTTCCAAAAGATACCGTGAGTATAAACTGATAAAAGAGAGTAGGCCTGGTGAAAACAAATGTGATAATTATTTTTGATAAGATCAGATGAGCTTAACCACTTCTCTTAGGATCCCAGAATGTGTTACTCATGTATTAAGCCACGTGTTATAATATAGTTCTTCTGCTCAAGTACCTGCAGTTTTATTCTTT